CTTGGGGGGGGGGGAGGATTTCTCTCTTGGGTGGGTAGAATAGAATTCAGAGGTGCTTCACTTCCATCAAAATTCTAGTTCCTTTCTCACAAATAGAGGAATATCAGGTGGTGAATCTCGATTATTATGATTACCTACTCGCGTTCAGAATTGATTCTTATTATGGTAAGATTTTGTACACACAAATCAAAAATCTGTCCCATTCCAAAATGTAACATCTGAAATAATTGCGTATATGAGACGCTTCGTTCAGTGCTACTAATCACTGTTTTTATTCTGCAAACCAAGCAAGTAGGTGCAGGACTTTATACTTGCACACTCTGCGGTTTAATTGGAACAATTTGGTAAGTAATTGCTATTTTTTAAAATTCTCATATAGAGATAGAGGTGAATGTATGAGCAAAATGACTATTCTATACAGCACTGCAAACCGCAAGAAAGCAATATTTAATCTTAAGTCATGAACAAGATGTGAACAAAGTCATCCCGGTCTTTAGGAAGAGAATTTGGGAATAACACTGAATTCAAAAGATAAAAATTGGGTCATTGTTAATTCCAAATTGCACTGCTGACCAATGAGAGGGCTGGAAAAGGCTCCCGTACTTCCATTTCCGCTTGAACTTGGCATTTGCTGCGCAGACTCTTCTGTAATTTAATGATCATTATCAGGGCCTTTATTTATAAGCAACCTTTTCTTTTTTGCTTAGTTTTGCTCGGATGAGGCTCAAGCACAAAATAAAAGAGGATTTATTTTCTTTTTTGAAAACAAATTTTTATTAAAGTAAAATCAAAAACAAAAGGAATGATAGCAGGCATTCTTATAAAAATAAAATCAACAATGCGTTTCTGTGATCGTAGAAATACAGAATAAGTAAAAATAAGCATAGCTTCATGACCTACTCATAAGATCAGGAGACGATGTGTATAAAAATCTTGAATACATTCATTTACTTCTCTCGTTATTAAAAATTTTTCAGAATAATTTAGAATATGGTTTCCTTCAAAAAATTTAACTGCACTTAAAACTTATAACAGCGTGAGAACTTATGGAACCACTTATCTATTCAAAATTTAATTTTTTAAGGTAAAAAAATTTCCCTTCAAAATTTAATGCAAGGCTTTTAGAGATTAAAAAAGACAATATTCCCTAGAGATGGATCTGAATCTTTTACTTTTTTCATTTTAACTGAAGATCTAACAAAATGCATGAAACAGGCGCACTTTCTGTTGCTAATTTTAAATATGATCTAAATGCTCTCAGGTTTTCTTTGCCGAGCTAGAATTTTTTGATATCTTCACTCACTCTCGAGAGATCAGAGCATAATCAGGTGAGAGGGGAAATTTAAAACTTTTCATAACATCTCCTTGACATTTTGGGGGTGAAATATTTTCCCCTAATATTTTTTTGGTTATTCAATTTTGTAGATACCCTATTTTGAGGAAAGTGTCCTCCAATTTCAACGGAGAAAATTTTTGGTCTGCAGCAAAATTGTAATTCCGAAATTACTGTGGTAGGAGGAGATGTTAGAATCAATTCCAAATTATGCATCGGCTATTCACCCAGGAGAGAACTGGTTTGGTTCTTCTAGCATCTAATTTTTACCCACGAAAGGAATCTTTCTGACGTCTGATGTTACCCATCATATCAATGACTAGTTTTTCGCTGATGCTCTCCTGCGGGTGCTGAATTTTAGTTAAATCCTCTACTCGCATGAATGGATTCGTCTTCTTTTCATCCGCTAAAACAATACAAACATACACACTGTGGTCAGTATACGAGCAGCTGACTATACATTTTTTAAATGTATTTTCAAGAAATTCTAGTTTCAACTGAATCATAGTTAGGAAGAAAGGAATACAGGTACTGCAATATATATCATTTTCCACGATTAACTCGCTATGCGAGCTGTTACGCCTAGCTGGGGATTGCGCCGGGAACCCAGTTTCTCGCTTCATGATGAACTTGCGATTACATACATGCATAAAGCTTTCACAGCAAAGCCTCGCGCTCTACGACGCCCAAACCATAGCTAGTTGCCATAGCTATCAACATTCAAAATAGTAATAATGGGAAGACAATGTCTTCGGCCGCCATCTTGGATTTTCGAAATTTGAAAATCTGACCAAAATTTCGACTTGCCTGTCGAAAAATACTCGCAGTTACCGAGTTTCACAAGAATCGATCAAACAAGAGCCAACTTAGTATTTTAAGCCATCTTGGATTATGGAATTTTGAAAATCTCACCAAAAATTCGAGTTTCCCGTCGAAAAATACCTCCTGTATCCCATATTCACGAAGATCCGTCAAAAAATACCCCCTGATACCTGAAATTCGTCGATAATGCTGTGACGTCACGCGACACGATTGAATTTGTTCAGCACAGTGCACGTAAACAACCTCGTATCCCCAAGACATTACTATAAGGAGACATAACTTTTCGCTCTTGTGGGCGTCCTGGGTAACATTATCGTATCGGAATAATTTTGATCAACTCTTCACGACAATAGCTAAGCATGTATCAAGTTTAAAGGAAATCGCTTCGGCCAATTTTTCTCTAAGAGGGGCAGAGAGAGCCGGTGCGGCAGCTTTATATAGAGTAATATAAAAAAAAGCTGACAGGAAGTCTTTATGTGAGGCTCTAAAAAAAAGAAGAAACGGAACACAGCTGGTGCAATGGACTGACATGGTAGTTATTGTCACGAGCAACCTAGGGAAGCTCTGTTGAACCTACTCAGGGGATAAAGTTTCTTCACCCTGAATATTGAACTGGTCACAATATACTTAATACAGTTTTCATGTCTTTGGACTTGTTCCTCAGGCTTAAAATTAAATCCGGTTAAATTGAGTGAATTCAGAGTTAAGTTGAGCAATCAATAAATACAGTTCAAACTTAAATAAACAGAACAGAAAAAAATCAAAAGACACCTGAAAGAGCAAAAATACCTACCAATGGTGGAAGGAATGGTTGGTTCATGAGCTCGCCGTTTTCCTTCAGCCCAGCTGAGTTTGTTGATGACATCCTGGTTCAAGGGATCTACTGTGCGAGCAAACTTTAAATTGGTAACTGTGTATTCATGACCGCAGTAAACTTTCTGCAACAACCATAAAATCATGGATTTCTTAAAATGTGAATGCAAAATACGAATAAGAAAATGAGAGGCCTCAATGTTTTAGTTTTGCATACATTTAATAAGGTGCTGTCCTTAATATTCTGGTATTTCCTACTGTTTCTTGAGGTTACTTTTTCACTAATTTTACTGATTTAATCAAAATTTTCACCTGAAATTATTAAGACCAGATAAGCTTACAACTAAATTGCCATAAAAAATTTTTCTTCCTTAAAAATTCTGGCAGAGCCTGTGAGATATGAAACTCCCATATCATGTATCTCGGCCATTAGCATTATTGCAGACTTCCTGTCATACTTCATTGTTCAAATGGAAAACTAGTTTACGTCATCACTTAAAAACTTCTGAGATTATTTCCTCCGTGAATACTCTAAGAAAATCTTAAACCATGATGTTGGTTCGGTCTTCATTTAAAAATAAAATTGGATCAGAGATTTTGAAACATTACAAAGAAGATAAGAGTTTTGGAAGTTTTGCTGTTGATAAGTAGAAAAAAATCAAAAACAACTTACAAGTGAAAAACAAGCATTTATAGGTGGTGTAAATCTATCAATTTAAACTGCCTGCTTATAAAAAAAAAATACAAATGCAAGTAAGTTCATCTCTCATTCCAGACATTTTTAAATGTTAAGGAAATAACTAGAGGTGGGGATTAAAAGACTTCTTTTCCTCTGATAAATGGAACTTGTGAACTTGTAACGAAAAATTTAGCATTCTGAGAAAATTTGTGGATTAATAAACATGCTAAATTATTTTGATACCCGCTTGGACTTAAGTGGACATTGAATTTCTGGCAGTGAAAAGTTTGAATAGATGAACACAAATAACTTTTTTCTATCTATTGAGCTGAAGAATATTAGCAATGTGTCCGCTATGCTCAACAGAAAAAGTTGATGAGGAAACATATAATGTGATGTTAAATTTCTCGCTCTGCTTGGTGGTCTATCTAGGAGTATGACGTCACTGAAAATTGACTCACTGTTTCATCTGGTAATCCCGCGAGAACTTTACACAAAGCCTTGTACATCTGATCAGGAGTTCCTTCAAAGAACCTTCCACATCCAGCCACAAATAGAGTATCACCTATAAAATATGCAGACAACTCATCAGAAAACTGCCATTCCAAAACAAAAAGGTGTGCTTTGAACACCGAAGTCGAAAAAAGTTGACTTAAGGTGATTCAACGGACGCCATTTTTCGTGTCAGAGTGACGTGCGATACATTGCATCCATGCGTTCCATAATTTCAGCTATGTGCTTGAAAAGCACGGCAATTTTTGAAGGAAATGTTTAAACCATCAAGACAGGAGTGTTATGAAGCAGAAGAGCAGGTTTAAAATTTTAAATTTCGGAATGAGGTAAGTTAAGAAAATGGACCCTATTGAACCTTTCATAATCTTTACATAATTTTCGCTCATATCATGATTTTAGTGACTTTCTGTCAGCTTCTCCAAACAGATTGAATGACAAATATTATCTATTCTTTAAGGGTTGAAATGCGGTTACATATAATGGTACATTCAAAGGAACCAGGCTCGACGAAGCCAACCAACCCTCAGACAATAAATCAAGCCGCTCACCTCACTCCGCCCCTCAGTCGCCACTTTTCGCGTTGTACACTAATGAATTTCAAAGAATTTCAAAGTGTGCAGGAGGATTTAAAAGGACCAATTCTCACTCAATTTTGGGAAAATTACTGAAACATTGGGTTGTAGAATAAAAAGAGTCTATAATGTGATTCAGGATACATACCAGTGAAAACTGCAGGGGGTCCTGAATCAGCAGACACAAAGTAACAGATGTGTCCGGTTGTGTGGCACGGTGTAAATAAACATTTCACTTTTAGGGTTCCAATATTAAATGAATTTCCGTCCTGCACAATCTTTGTGACTGCGTCGACTCTTGAGTCACCACCATAAACTTCCAACGATTCCATGCTCTCTTTCAGTTGTGTGTTTCCTCCAGCATGATCCCTGGAAGAATAAAGCCCAGATAGATAGATTAATACTAAAGTTTTTTGATACTTTAGCCAAAGATGAGAGCCCTTTTTCACTTCGACAGAGGGATAAATTTGAAAAAAATAGACTATAGAAAAAATTCCCAACAGTTGTAATATACCTAGAAAAAAAAAAGATGAGCATTAAGCGATTCGTATAATAATATAACAAGCAAATATGCTTGCTTGGACGTTGCCAGCAAAAATGAACTTACCTACGGTAAAATTTAAGCGAATAATGATAAGAACAAAAAAAATGTAGGAAAGTAGCAAAGAATAGCAAAATATTATCTTGTGAATTAGCTGATTTCAATGGAAAATGGAAACGATTTGAGGTAGGAATATTTCCCATTATTTCTATTACTTGCACCGCGAGTTGAGCTATTCATCTTTTTCCAGTGGGTACCTCTCCTAATCTTAGTTTCTTTTTCTTCAGAGTGTCCACTCCTGTCAAGAAGAGGGAATCCATGAATTTCTATGTATCTATGTATGTTTTGCATATCCATGTATCTTTTTTTCTGACCTTACTGCAGATAAAAATTTCGCACCCTAATCAATTTGACTGCAGAAAATTTACTTCCTGTTTTTTCAAGTTACAGAAAAAAATTCCCTAACTTCCTGTGAGAGTTGAAGAGTTATACCAAAAATATTGAGAGCTTATTTTGGGATTAAAGCAATTTTCTGTCTTTCTCAGATTTTTCTAAACGGGAGGCACCCTTTCCTTCTACCGTTGGCTGATCATCCTGAATGGAAACGTGTCTTTTTTAAAAATCATTAATAAAGAGCTTTGAAGGTCTAAAAAATAAGCCCAGGAAAAAATGAATACATCAGCAACCTGTAGACAAAGATTTGAGTATTTCAATTCATTGCTAAGTTGAAGTGATGGTAAAACAGATATCAATCACTACTTTGCCTTCCTGCAATCATTCATGCTGTAAACTTCGGAGGATATTCTCCGATACATGAGGCTTTCACTCAAATACAAGTCAAACCCACTTTAGACGTTGGAACACTGTATACTAACCAGTGATGATGGGTTGTAAGGACAGCTTCGAGCGAAACACCTCGCTTGGCAACTTCTTCCAAGACTAGTGTTGGGTTGACTGGGTCGACAATTGCTGCAGATTTGGTTGCTTTATCAGTTATCTAAAATAAAAAAACAAAACTTGAATAAAACTGCTTTTCCTGTCATTGGTTCTACTTATCAGGCCTACAGAGAATGCTTGATCCGCTGATTGTAAAAGAAACGTGAAGGAACCTGAAATAAAGCTAAAAAAATGTGACGGCAGAAGGCATTCAAGATTTTTCTTGTTTAAATTTTAGTATTACTATTCCTTACCATTGTGCTACTAGTTCTACGCTACTATACCTACTTTAGAGGCTTTCATATTTTTATGCTATTTTTTCCCAGGCATCAGGGAAACTTAATAGGTACAACATCTGAGCAAAGTTTGGTCCAAAACTGAGAGTGGGTCTAAATTAGCAAACATGAAACAACCTCTTTCCCTACATCTGAAACTGATTCAATCAATGGAGATCTTTATGGCTCTTGACTTTATCATTGAATGTGATACAGCTTTATAAACTTAACTGGTTAATATCTAATTAAGATGAGTATCGAAGTTCACTGCTCAAGTGCGAACGACATTACTACAAAGAGGAACCCAACTTATTTGACTCTTTCATAAAAGTACTTGTGCACGGGGAAAATGAAAGTAAGTAGGATCATCTGAGGGCAGAAAAATTGCATTCTTTTTCCGTTTCGAGTTGCGTGAATAAAAAGTGGAAAATCAAGATCTGGTGAGAGCCATCAGGTGTTTCAAAAAGTAAGTGACTGTTGTTCCTTTATAGGTTAACTCCAGCAGGCTGAGAGTATTGATTGGACTAAATTTTTTTTACGTTGTCGAAGTAGAATAGTTTGGCTACTGGCCAAAGAGAAGAAATTATACTTCAATAATTTTTCAATTTTAATTGCAGAAAGAGTACAAGATACTCACCAGGTACATGTAGTTATCTTCTAGGGCAGGAAGTATAGTGACATCCATATTTAGGCTGATTTCCTTCCTCCTCACGATTGTGAAAAAATCTACCAGAGACCTACCTAGTATTTAATAAATAAAAATTAAAAACAGATTCAGATTAGGTATAAAATTCATCTACTCCTAATTAAGTCTGTCCATGTTAACACCTTAGAAATCCATTATGTGATGAGCTCTTTGCTCCGCTCACTCATGCTAGGAAAAAACATCACATGTTTAAAATACAATTTTTTGCAGCTTAGTGAAGGATTTGGCCCTTAAGTAATTGCAGCTCTGCATACGCACACCATGTGAGGTAGCAGTACAGATATCATTTCATCGATGGCCGAAGTGCAAAACCCCGTATCTCTGTTTGTGACATAGCAGTTTCCTTTCCTCCTTCATGGTTTCATTGAAAAACTAGTCTGCGTAAATCATCGAAAACTTCCTTGATTTTTCTGCTACACGGGCAGAATATTCGGTAAAAATATCAAGCTAAAAAGTTGGCTTGTTTCTTGTTCTTGAAGCGGACATTTTGAAACGCGGAAATGGAGATACATGGTTTTGCACTGTTTTTCTTAGTTTTTAATAAGAAAAATATATAATTACGTAGTAATTATAAATAAATACCAAAACAATTCTCGGTAGATGTCAAAGACTGACTGAAAACTTTTATTAACCTCTTATGAGAAAATATACATTTTATCAGCTGACACTGACATTGTTGTCAGATGAACATTCTCCCGAGGGGGCGAAAGTGATTACAATTCATACATGAAATATTATAATTTATTGATATATTTGTGGATATCCATTTTATTTGCTAATTATGCAATTTTGTGCTGCTATATGCATACAATGTCACTGTCTTACGGGTGGCCCCTGCAGTTGAAATGTCACCGTCTTACGGGCGTCCCCTGCAGTTAAAATGTCACTGTCTTACGGGCGTCCCCTGCAGTTGAAATGTCACTGTCTTATGGGCGTCCCCTGCAGTCGAACTGTCCATTGTTTCAGAACTGATTTGGTCCCATGGAGATCAAAACGATCATTGCATGGAATTATTGGCCCACGGAGATCAAACGATCACTGCATGGAATACTAGCACTATACTCATCGATATACTCTACTATACTCACTATACTGCACTATAGTCATCGATATACTACTTAAGCGTTATTTTTTTCTTTACGCTACCTCTTACATGCAAAAAAATGTCTAGGTTTCTTGGTAAAATACTGCTTTGAACATTACTCATACCCGTGGAGATCTTGGTAGCTGAAAGATGTGCGTTTGGGCTCAAAGAAAGACTTCCTACCTTTTAGCATTTCGCGCCTCACAGAATCGAAAACTGATCATGAAATTAAAGGCTGTGTTTTCAAGGATATGCAGATGCTAAATTATTGATTGCCAAAAAAAGGGCGTATTGCACAACATGCCCTTGCTCTTTGATCGTTCTTTCATACCCAAACTTTCTGACAATACTTAAATGCCAAAGGAAAAAAAAGTAACAGATTAGAGTAGAATAAGGACTTTAACTTACCAAAATAGTAAAGGTCAAATACTGAGTAAAAAGGAGAGTAAATTCGTAGGAGGAGGAAACTTTGGAAACGTTTATTATTGTTTAGATTTGAGGTTATGTCACGCCTGAATGTTGATGGATGGTGCTTTACTTGATAGTTCTACAGGTCTGCGTTTGAGCGGTAATTTCAAATGATCCAACACCATCCATATCATGATTCGGAACGACCGGCAAGGTGTTTAGGTGTCCTCTTAGGACCGCCTTTCAGAAAATATTTGCTTTCTAGAGGTGAAACTTAAGGCATTTTCCATAAAATTAAATTAATGAAAAATTATTATAAAACTGAGGCTGGTGAGGGTAGATGGTTGTCAACATAAATACTGTCAAATAATGCCCCCCCCCCCCCCCNGATTAGTTATGATAAATAGTAAGACTGATGAGTGTCAGCCACTATCTATGTTCCAAGGAAAACTCCTGCCTTTCAACTGGGAAATTGTGTGATTAAAATGTTACACCAAATGATATGTAAAATCACTCAAGATTGAGGAATCTGTCTGTAAGTAGATCATGAATCATTAAGAGCCTTGTAAGACTGGTTATTTTGCCAATTATTTTCCCATAACTACATACAATTTTATTTTAAAAAAAAGGGGGTTCATGCCGCCGAATTACAAAAAAATTAAAAGACCTTCGATCAGGATTTCACGGATTTTTGAGTGTCTTTAAGAATCTTTAATTTTTACGCTCTCTTTAAAGATTATACAAACACATTAATGACCAAATGAAAATTATCTTTCCATGATCCCAATGACAAGCAATACCTACGGCCGAAGGCTTGAGAGGTAAAATGAGATTGAGAAAATTATCATTTGATTTTTGTTTATTGATTCCTTTTTTGGTAACAAAAAATAAAAAATATAAAGATCCACAACAAATAATAAATGCACAAATTAAAATGCACTCATGTAGGTAAGAAAGAATTTAACATTTTAAAAAACAATATCCCAAAACAGGGCCCACTTTACATGGCAAATTATGATATATGAGGTTATCTTTAGGCTATTTCCTTGATGATGAAATGTCCGAGGTTCGTGGGAAAAAATAATAGGTTCAACGGAGCGCCCAAGCCTTTCAAAGTTTAAATTGACCCATTATCAGGATATTTCATTATATTATACTAAAATTTAACTTTAGGTATACATTAAGATAAGTGAATCTAGTGTGTCCCAAAATAATAAAGCACAAAAGCACGACTTATACATCTATAGAAAAAATTTCACATCAGAAATTTTACTTTCCCACACATCAGTCAGTTTCGAATAGGTTTAAAATAGACAAGGGTAAAGAGTCTTTACAACCAAACTGGTAGACAAATTGTTGCTTTTGTGATGCACCTCTGACAGCTGTAAAATTTTAAGGGAAAAATTTAGTACCTTATCGATGATGCAAGCAATTTGAGACCTACATGTAGGTGATTTGCCGCTTGAGTAGACGCACTCCAACAGCATGGATTTTAAAAAAAATATAAGCAGCAAAAAATATGTTCACCATAATTCTATCCTTGGAAAGAATCTTTCTCCTTTCTCAGGCCTCCCAAAACTGTGATGGCCGCTTCCCTTTTACTGCTGTCAGTGCACTTTGTGATGCTCGAAACACCAACTCGCATGAATGGGTTTGTCCTCTTTTCATCTCCTATAAAACAAATACAGAATAAGTAAAAAATGGCAAAAGGAAATATATACCGCCACCTTCTGGTCATTGTGAACCATACAGGGGTACTGATACGGAAGAATTCTACAAAAAATTCCACTGATTATTCCCGTTCCGTCGAAATAAACTGGAATGACTGTTAGAAGTTCGCAGTACACAAAATTTCATTTCATGAAAAGACAAAATTTGGCGAAGAACACGCTTCACACCACAAAAATTACTAAGATCAACTCCTTATCAAGATATTTCTTTTACAAAAGATACAAATTTTTTATAAATACTGGTTTAAAAAATTTGAACTTTCAACTTACGAGTAAAACCTGAGTCTAAGGGAATCAAATTGTGTGGTGCGATGGTTTTAGCAGGTTTTTTTAATAAAGCAGTATTCCTCCCCCACCCTGTGTCATTAAAAGTGCAGAGAACAGGCAACAGCTGAGCCAAATTGCCAAGAATGAGATTGTTATATTTTCATACTGCAGAGACTGTTACATAACATTCAGAGTGCAATTTAAGTTGAGCAAGCTGTTTACGCATCAAAACACATTGATGACCAGAATAAGAGTTACATACTTTCATTGATTTTTGTTGCACAGATTTGTGTTTTACGCGAAATTTTCTTGAGATTACATTCATCATAATCTCTAAATTTGTATCTTGTCTTTACGGCTCATTAAATTTTAAGTTGGATTCACTAGGAGACTTCAGTTTTTTTGACAGGTGAGAGGCTTAAATTCACAAACACAAAAAGCACTCATTTTTTTCTCACTTGCAAACCAAATTCAGAAGCTTTCAATGTTTCCACTGATTTTTTCATATGAATTGGTCAAGTAAACAATTATTCTGCCATGCTATGAGAGAAAGGCGTGCTAGGATTCATATGTTTCCAAATTACTTTAAAAACCTACTTTTTTAAGGGAAAGTAATGGATATTTTTCCAAAAATTCCAAGAACATCAGATTGAACTGCAACAAAAATTCCTCAAAAACCTTATGAAGGAAAATTCACGAGTTTGACAGAAAATTTGTTTAATGGGATGAAATTCAGCAACACCCATCATTATTTTCATAGGACCCTTTACCTTGGAAAGACAGTATCGTGATGCTCTGTGTCCAAAAATCTCTGGAGTTCCAATACAATAAAAGTGTACTAACATGTAAGCCAAGAGGCAGAACATTTAAGCCTTCCCATTTTAAATCCTCTCAAAAGTTCAAAATGGCAACCTTCTCTATTCTTCATACAAAAATTACTGCGATTTTTGAAAATCTGAACAATTTTTACAGCGGTTTTGCAAAACATACATTATTTTTACCGTGACTTAACAGAAAATACATAATTTTTAATACTGATGTCCATCAGCCTTCTCCCTTTTACAGCTCATTTCAGAGGTCACCTCATTTTTGTGCGCGGCCAATTCTAACTCATACGAAGCATGATAAGAGTACTTTTTGCATCCTTGCATTGTTAGTATTACGCACTCTTCCGGCAAAATATTTTCAATTTTTTTAGAGAAATGTCGCTTAATAATAGCAAATTTTAAAAACGAAGAAAAAAAACAAAAAATCATAAACATCTTAAAGGTTTGTTTGGTACTGACCAATTGTTGAAGGGACGGTTGGTTGATGATTTTTTCTTCTCTCCTCAGCCCATTCAAGCTTTTTCATGACATCTTGATTTAAAGGGTCTACTTTCTGAGCGAATTTCAAGTTGCTGATTGTGTACTCATGACCACAGAATACTTTCTGAAATCAGTAAAAACCTCAAGTAAAGTAAATGCAAAAAAGGACATAACACAGCATCAAAAACCTACTGATTATCCTGAATGATCTGATTGGTCGTAGATATGTTTTTTCTCATTTGCCATTACTTTCCAGGATTTACAGCACCTCTTTTTAATGTGTATTTTCTCTGGTATTTCTATTGGTTGCTTTTCGTCTCAACTATCTTTTTTTCTTAATTCTACTTAGGGAAAGAATATTCATCATGTGCTGGCTTGTTAACATGTTAACTGCCATAGTTTTTATGGTAACTTGCAGCAAGTTGAGAGGCGGAAAAAACTTGCAAGTATGACAGATGCTCTGAGGCAGCCGTAGTGTCGTCTCTCAGACGCAAATGTAACATGAGGTTTGGATATGCCATGATAGAGAGCTCTCTACACTCAGTGGAAATGATTTAAGAATGGCTTACTGGCATGACAGTTATAGAGTTAACGTTGAAACTGCAAAAATGCAGATCTTGGTTGCAGTGTCCCAAAATCTCTGCTCCTATTTCACTTTTTAAGGGGAAACCAATCCAACATCATGGTTAAAAATCGGCACAGAATACTCTTTGAATAGAGAAAGAAAATCACCAAGGTTTTGAAAAAATGACTTTTAATTGTTCTTTATGTAGAAAATACAAATGATAGGAAGCCAGCAACACTGCAAATGGAGATGCGCATTTCTGCAGTTTAACTTTCGATAAATAAATACTTCTCTGAATGGGCCTGTTGCAAACTTTTGCTAGAGTAAATATAAGAGTTGCTACTCATAGTAAGTGTCTCAAAAATCATGATGAGCGCATCGGCAATGTCTGAAATTCACAATTTTCGTACGAAATTTGTGTTTTTTCAAGCTTCCCGCTTCAAAAATGATACCACAGCACAGGTGAACATTTTGTTGAAGGAGTCATTTCATCCAACCCTTGCTCACAAGAATTATACGCAATATTCAAAATAGCCGACGCAAATCCGCCAAAACACATGTGATGGGACAATGATTCTAACCAACTGACAACAATCGGCGTGTTTGAATTCCATTTTCCTCGTGTTGATAAAGGTCCGCTTTAATTGACCTCGTGCTCTCCTCAACTTGAGCACAGTAGCGTTGGCCATGTTAAGCAGGGATTGAATGGAACGACTCCTCTAGCGCAATGTTTACCTGTGCCGTAGTATCCTTTTGGAAGCAGGAAGCTTTAAAAAAACACGAATTTCTTACGCAGATTGTGAAGTTAGTAGTGCATTTCAGAGTTTGCCAATGCGCTCATCGTGATTTTTGAGACATGATCTGGAAGGAACAACTCTTATTTTTGCTCTAGCAAAACTTTGCAACAGGCCAATTGGTCTCTCATTGATCTGAGATAGAAATGGATGAAAATACTCACAGTGTCATCGGGCAGGGAGGCAAGAACCTCACACAAGGCTGCATACATTTGTTCTGCTGTTCCTTCAAAAAATCTGCCACATCCGCCGACAAAAAGAGTGTCACCTGAGATGATAAAAAATTGTTAGCAAAAAGACTTATCATGGGTCACAAATTTTTAAAAGACGGTCATTACTTATAACTTAGTATTCCGGTCAAGAGACCATGACTCAATTCTGGATCCGGCAAAATGTTTTTAAACGATTTATGATAGGATAAGAATGTTGGAGCAACTTTATCCTGTGGATTTTTGATTTTGAAAAGAATTATGCATTAGCGTCCAGTAAGCATGTAAATATCTACAATTTGACTTCTCATTTTTTTTACAGATTTTACCTAATTTTGACCAAATTTAACAGAGACTCACCAATCTGTATTGAGTCTGAACCGAGAGGAAGAGGCTCCAAGTTATATTCGTTCATAAAACTCGACGTGGAAAAAGTTTGACGGCTATTTTTATATTTAAAATATTTCTCCTCAACTTGAGAAAGTACAACTTGTTGACTTCAAAAATACCCCCAACTTATTTTCTTTCTTTCGTTCAAAATGCGAATCGTTCCCTCCCTATAAAACTCGGTTCATTTGAGAGAGAACAATGTCTCCTTGTCAATTTCTTCACTTTGCCTACTTCTAAAATAGGGGCCAAAAATCCAGTGAGGATTAAATATTCGCACCATAATAAAGATGTACATGCTTCTTGCCTGTCCTCAGTATCAATTTTCACTGTTTTAACAAAACTAATCTTTGTTTTCAAATCAAGATTCAGCTGTACACACAGAAATGATTTCGCTCTTGTCAGCATGATTTTTTCCTCAGAATAAAATGAAAACTTCAATGGCTCAGCCAGGGGGCTCTCTTCAGATTGAGGGGTCCAAAAGGTCCCCAAACTGAAAAAAAAATTTTCCGTGATTTGTGGGAATTTTTTAATGTTGAGTCCTTCCTTCAAGAAATTGTTGTCAAAACCCTCTCCTCCCCATAAAAAATTTCTGGCTACACTACTGTAAGACTTGCAGCCAGACTGTTGCTGACTGTAAGACTTTTTTTAAATCATAAATGGTAATATGTATGCTGTTCTTGACTTTCTAGAGATGGCACAGTTGAGAATAAAGATACTCATTTCATGGAATAATTTATATTCTGAGGCAAGGATCTTTACCAGAAAAGAGAGCAGATGGTTTCGAATCTGACGAAACAAGATAACACATGTGTCCAGAGGTATGACATGGTGTGAACATACATTTCACTTTCAATGTCCCGATTTCAAAGACGTCTCCATCTTTGATTATTTTGTTGACACACTTGATTCTCGGATCACCACCATACACAGTGGGCTTGTCTAGCACTTGCGTCAATTTTTCATTTCCGCCATCATGGTCCCTGCATAGGCAAGATAAGAGTCAATATGAGAACATTTTTGACAGTGTTCAAAAATTGGACTGAAACTTACAAGCCCAAGCTGGAGAAGAAACAAGTCTAAAGAGTTTTTGATGTTTACACCTTTTGGAGGGGAAAAAACAGTTCCATTGAAAACATAATTTGATTCAAACAACTGACTGTCATTTTCTATTTATTGTATTTACCTGTGTTTGATGTGCAGGTTGATTTTGCAATTGCATTGAGGCAAATTAAAACGAAAGCTGTGACATAAATGTGTGTTCCCCGGAATCTAAGATCCTAAATTAATTCATGCCATTGAGGGTTAACCAGGTAAAAGCCCAAAACAAAAAAAATTGTAATGTATCTGAGTGAACACTATAATTTTATTAAAATTACCCATCAAAATCGGCAAGGAAAAGGATAATACGAACCAATGATGATGAGTTGTTAGAATTGATTGCAAAGAGAGACCTCGCTTATTGACCTCTTCTAGCACCAAGTCAGGAGAGACAGGATCAATGACAGCTGCAGATTTAGTATTGTCATCTGATATCTGAGAAAGAAAAAAAAATGTAACAGAGGTTCATGAAGTAAAACTTATGATTTTTTTAAATCATTTCATGGAAAAAGCAGAAAGTAATCTCTGGACGGTGGTCGCAAGATATCAGAAGTATGTCGCAAGTATATATGGTAGAGATATTTTGTGTAACTTTAGAAATGCGTATCTAAGTTTCCGGTCTTGCAGACTTTCTGCCATACTTTATTTTCTACATCGCTAACTATTACATTTCATTTCTTGAAAACTTTGGTGACACTTTCTTTCTTGTCAGAAATAGCTTATGAAAATTTGGAGCCATGATGTTGGTTCCGCATCCTTTCAAAAAAATAAAATAGGACCGGAGATTTTGAAACAACGCAACTGAGATGTGCATTACTGCAGTTTAGCAGTCAATATGGTATCTGTCCTTTTTCCAGTGCTTAAGTAAGATTCAGTACTGTTATTACAGGTGAGCCTATTTTCAAAACTCTCAATGTGGACAGATACAGACTGCTTGATGACCTCAAATTAAGTCCTTTATCTGAGAAAGCAACGACAAATTATGACTTCAAGGCTGTCATAAAAAGAAAGAGCATACAGATATTACTCACCAGGTACATGTAGTTGTCTTCCAGGGCTGGAAGTATTGCCACCTGCATCTTTGAAAGGGAAACATTTTCTGTGATACTGTGGAAGGAATGTGCTGTAAACAGATTAAACTATTTAAGTATCACTTGGAGCAAAAGTTTGATTCACATCTTTGGGAGTTGAGTCACTAATATATAACCGCATCTTTAGGTTCGTAGCATTGCAGACTTCCTATCATAAATTATTTTCTTCATTGCAAACTACTAAACTCCATTTCCTGAAAGCTTTGATAATTTCTTTTATCTTTGATAAGAATAGTCGGTAAAAAGTTTAAGTGATCGATTTTGTGATGATTTGGAGACATACAAGCAACAAGACACACATTTATGCAGTTTCATTATTGAATGGGTATATTAAAAGGCAGAATTTGACTTTAATCTCAACATATATTGCACAGGTTTTGAAAGACAAACGAAGGAAAACAGATGCGGAAAATTTCAGGAGTTTTGCTAATTCATCAATCTAAAACCTGCAGTGTAGGTGAAAACGCAAGCAACCCTGAAAATTAAGGAAATTCAACTAATTAAAAATTAGCATACATGAACCGTAGATTTTAATTCCTTTCCGAACCACTCCTGGCACAAATAAAGATCTCAAGACAGCATGCATTTTCTAGATGTTCACAACTCGGAATCTGCAGAGCTCTCTTCACAATATGCTCAACAAGGATCCTGAAAAAAAAACCATTCAGTATGCATAAAAATTTACCCATTTTCTTTCAAGGAGACAGAAGAGTCAATAAAGAAATTCCAAACTAATCCTTGATGACTGGGCAGATGTAGTTAAGCTGCAAGAAAGAACTTTCTGAAAGTGCTGTGCAGTGAGTCTTGCTTCCGGCAGAATTTACCACTGGAAAACTTTGATCTTGCTCCAATTAATGAGTACGTAAAAGACAGCTTACAGTATAAACTCTTGACAATGATAAGGATCAAAGCTGTCTCTTCAGGCAAATGAGAGTGTTTTTTTTTTATTTTTTACTTTTGATTTTGTGGTGATGTTATATAAGAAACTGGGAAAAGTAAGAAACTATCAAAATGCTTTGCAAATTTGAGACACAGCTGCACACAATAAAAAATTTTACTCAACTTTGCTAAATTTTCAATATTTTTAAATTTAGTTTTTCCCGTTATTTTAGATTTGGTAATTTAATGTTGATTCTTTCCATTTCATGAAAAATTCTATGGAACTTTAGTCCTTGTAAGTATCAATACCTGAATGATTAAATGATGAATGTGTAAGAAAAACAAAGACATAAAGACGGAGTGCTCGTATCTAAAAGCATGGGGAAAAAGTGAAGCCTGGTTTGGCGCTGGGTGCTTGTGTGAGTGTGTAAATGAGCGCGGGAATCCATGGCGGCAAACGGAAATTTGATTTGAACTTGTCCTCTTGATTTTCTTCGAATCGTATTTTAAATGCCTAAAACGAATATATTAAGAAAGTTGGGACTGCGTCCCATTATAATACACCTGCTTTTGCTCGGTAACAGGCAGTAATCTCAGATAAAGTTAGTTTTTCTTTTGCTCATGGTGGTTCTGCAGGTTCAAACAGGCCGTTACAGTTGTAGATGACTGTTACTCCCAAATGAAATTAATCGGTCGACGACGGACCAAAACTAACCTAAAGTTAAAAAAATATGAGTGGGTAAGTGAATTTGGGCAAAAATCAACCTAGAATACTTTGTTTCCGCAATTTTATTTAGTTCCCGCCCTACATTTGAATTTCAAACTTGTCCCGATTTCGCCGCCAATCCTCTAGCCAATCGTAGAGGTGGTTGAAAAGAAGCTTCATTTTTTGCTTTTAGCCCTCCGTCTTTATGTCTTCGAAGAAAAAGTATTATTTACCTAAATCTAGAGGTGAAGATGCCAGGCGAATTTGGTAAAACTTGAACTTGTCTGAAGAAAGAATGATGTTCAGCACTACATTTGTATTCAGATGTTTGCAGGTGGCTCTGGTAGGAGTCTCAAATCTACCGGTGTTATCTTAATTCTAGGAGAAAAAACCAAAATTACCAACTTTCCATCAATTGTGTGACAAATATGTTGGCATTTTACTTTTACTCGATTTGGCAAATGACATATGAAGTGGAGTTAAGGAAAGCAGTTCACCCCCTAAAATTAAAAGTTCTGCAGCAAACCTCATACAAAAAAGGCATGAGCTGACACTTGAATCGGTGGTAAATAGTCATTCCATTGTTTCGGGTCTAACAGGCGCAAAACTTAAAAATTGAGGTCTTCACAACTGAATGAAGAGTACCTGAAAATTAATTATTAGGACAGAAAGAACTTTACATGTCTGTAGGTAGTTGCTATTATTGTAATTTATGCAAGCTTTTTATTTAATTTTAAATCCATTCTAGACAGAATGCATTTTTTCTTCAATTTCAGACACTAGGTAGAAAAGAGAGAAACTCTGCCAATGATAAGTTCATACATGCCTAAACAAAAATATATTTTACACCCTGAAGTATGAGCTTCAACCTTCACTTTGATTGTCAAAATACGAAACCGTGTACCTCCATTGCGGTGTTTCAAAATTCCACTCATGTTTTATTTTTTCGAGGAAACACAAGCCAACCATACAACTTGAAATTGGACATATTTATGCTAAAAGGAACGATGTGCATAGGGTTTGCTTGAGACGTAGTTCCTTTTAGCATAAATACATCCAATTCATACAGAGTATTCTGCTACCAAAGAGGAGAAATCAAAGAGGTTTTCAAGCAATAATGTTGTCTGATTTTCCAAAGAGAAAATAAAGTATGACAGGTCTGCAATGTTGCAAACGCAGATATGATTTTGCACTTTGGCCATCAATCTGATTCACAGGCTCTCCTGTTACAACATTCCATTGGTGATTTCAAAACTCAGAGTAAGTACAACGTAGACCTTGCAAACTACTGTATATATGTAATATAAAGCCGCTCCTACAACGCACTCTGGCATTCTGCAACACCCAACCGCCACCTGTGCCTAGTCTCCCAGAGCTTATACGGCAACTGACGCCGCAACATTTCTTTGTCAGCGCCCTGCCGCGATCCCTTTACGGGACGTCCCCATCGCCTCTTCCGAGGTGACAAACTAGTTTTATTTTAGAATAATGCAGAAACTACTTGCCAGTAGTAATTTTCGTCTTCGTTCTTGTTCCTGAGCACGATGTCGCCTGTTGGAGTAAGTCCTTCAAAATGCTCAAATTGTCATCACCCTGAATGAAGCAGAGAAAAAAAGAAAAATATTAAAGGTGTTATACTTTCAACCACATTAATAGAATATTTCTCAAATCCCAGTGCTGGTGAATTTTGACTGATGTGGCCGAATATCTGAACTTCTTATTGGGAAGCAAAATCCTGTAGCTCTCGCATACTTGCGATTGTTTCATTCGTTATCAACTGGTCTCTGCACATTGGGTGAAGTCAAAAGTAAAACAACAGTGAAGATTCCCGTAGGCTTCAGGCTTCAACAATTTCTGTTGGCAAACTTTCAGTTGAGTTCAAGTCAGCGATGCATTTTAGCTTGATCTCGAGATCAGAATTAGATCAGAATGAGGAGCTTCAAACTCGTAAAAATATTTGAATAATTACCTCAAGTAAAGCGCTGGATTTCTGGGTTGCTCTTGATTTTATATTCTTTGGATTTGTGTTACTGTCACTGAAAAATTAAAAGGCCTACCCGAGAGCAAAACTATTTAAGAACTAGTTAGTTCAGGGTTAAAAACTTCCCACATCATACTCTAACCTCAAAAGTTCAGCGAGACATGATTTGAGTACAATGGATTTACTTGACGATAAACTGCTTATGCCCCTTAAATCCGCTGTGGTACAGTAACGGGGGGAACAACTAGAATCCGAGACCGATTGTGAGGAAATTAGGTATGTCTTTGATCTTTGATCTGAACTTTACACTTGATTGACACATTCTGTTCTTTAGTAGTTTGCATAAGATCGTGATGAAGATATGACCATTTTAACGTCCTTACTAGACATAGAACTTGGTGTAATACAAAATTTATAATCAATTCGTAAAGATACTCACGTCGCAAAAGTTGAATAAGGCGGAAAAATTCACAACGAGGATTCACTGCTGGTTTTGTTTACGAACCAAACCATGTGCGCTGCGCGTGTCGCCATTTTGGACTGCGATTTATGAATGAAGCATTCGGAACAGAACAGACCAATGAGAGACCAAGAATTCGTCATCGTACTCATCGTAGTACTATGCGTAGTATTTTGTAGTAAGCGTTGCCAGATCGAATGAGCAAATGACTGTAAAAGCTTTCTACGCCGTGAAAGATAATCATATACCCGAGATTTCGATAGGTTTGTTGCAATTTTTATTCTTACGCGCTCTGTTGGCGCGAAAACCAAATTAACCTTGCCCAAATCCATTCTGTAAGATACTGGAGAAGGTTTCCTCAGTGTTTTCCATCAAAATCTGGGGATTCGTTTGGCTTTCTCTTCTTGACGTTAATCGCTTAGCTGAATATTTAGCCACTGTGAACCAATGTTCTTTTCCTCGCCAACGTTGACACTCGGATTAGAAAACCTACCAAGGCAAAAAATTAACCCCCCCCCCCCCCCCCCCCCNNNNAGGTGGCAAAATATCATGAAAAATAAAATCTTTGAAATTTCACGTGAAATATTTCATGAAATATATGAAAGATATTGAAAAATACCAGTTCCTTTTCATGTTTCGCAAAATGTAAAAATTGTGACTTTCTTCTATTTTTGAGTGTTTGAGTGCGGGTTGCATACTCTAGCCCCTGAAAAATATGAAATATTTCACAGCCTCGTGAAATTTCATGAAATATTTCACTGAAATTTCCAGTCTTTCATTCCTTTCTTACGTTCCATGCCACGCTTTTCATGTTTCGCAAAATGTAAAAATTGTGACTTTCTTCTATTTTTGAGTGTTTGAGTGCGGGTTGCATACTCTAGCCCCTGAAAAATATGAAATATTTCACAGCTTCGTGAAATTTCATGAAATATTTCACTGAAATTTCCAGTCTTTCATTCCTTTCTTACGTTCCATGCCACCTTGCGTCCCCCCCCCCCTCCTTTTTTGCCGGGAAGCTGTACTTCGAAAGAACCTAAAAATCGTCTGAGGGGGAAATCACGCACGCAATATAGTAAAACCAAATGCGTTCTTCACGACAAAAATCATCTTTTTTGTAGGTAATTCCACGAAAAAAACTGACAAGTACGTCCACAATTAATTTCGCTCATAGCAAGCTATGAGCGAACTGTCAGTTGACTTGTCAAGTAAATTCAAACAAAATCGTCAGAATTGGCACCAACACTCTACACTCTCTTGGAAAAATTAGATGGTATTTCCGATGCAGACGATATCAAACTTGAAAATTTGCTCGTGCATGAGGTAGGCGGGGTTTCTTTTCTGCGTAGATTTGAAATTTTGAACACGTTAAGTTTCCACGCCGACCCATTTGTATCCTTTTTCTCCTCCTATATCCTTTTCTTGAATAACATAATACGACATACATTGTCTTAAAAATAAAGTATCTTTGAGTTTTTATTTGAAGAAGCAAGGAAAGTGGGAGCTAACTTACCAAGAAGGGATGGAGATCGACCTCGTACATTTCTATAACCATTCACAGAGGCGGATCCAGCAATTTGGCAACACCGGAATTCCTCCATTTAAACCTATGCTAAACAATCGATTCTTTTCGGAGCACCTGGCTCCTCCAAGAATCGAGACATATCCATAGGTTTAAATGGAGAGACGGAAATGTTGACAATTGGCTGGATCCGCCAATGACCATTTGACTTTATACAGAGAATTGAGTCCTACCTTGCATGGTACTGGTCTCTGATATAGTCAAACACATATCAATGGTGAAACTGCAGAGATGCCTATCTCAGTTTTCAGCGTTGCAGACCTCCTGCCATGCCTTATTTTTCGCATGGAGAACTACTTAATGAACATCTTTTTTTAAAAAAATTGAAGTTATTTTTCTCCTCTTTATATCTGAAGAATATTCTGTGAAAACTTCAAACCATGTTGGTTCGGTGTCCTATTAGAAAATTAGAAATAGTAGCGGAGATTTGGAAACGATGCAAACGAGATTAAACGATGTTGGTTCGGTGTCCTATTAGAAAATTAGAAATAGTAGCGGAGATTTGGAAACAATGCAAACGAGATACGCATTTTTGCAGTTCCACCGTCAATAATATAAAATATGATTATATATATATTTTATACGTGCTTTTATAATTTTTGATCAGTGTACCTACTCTCGAAGTCAGAGCCGGATTTACCTACTTATTGCCGCAAATGGGCCGCCTGTATTTTGCCGCCCCTTCTCATTCGTTTTGAAACATCGATACAAACCATCAAGTGAACGTGCCGGAGGAGGAGGGGTGCATAAGACGTGTTTACTCGTGTTGGGCTATTTTCTGTGAAAGCCCTGTCAACACTAGCAAAATTTCACGGACTTTAGCGCGAAAATTAAGTTCCGTAAACCTATCTCTGTGTGAACGAGGCTTTTCATTTATAAGAAAAGAACGAAAAAATTATGAAAGATTACACATGAATGTGGTTTAATGATTTCAATTTCCGCCACCGCATTAACCGCACTGTGTTTGGCGCAATACGTGAAGTATCCATCAGTCTTGTAGGCGCTGTGCATTTTACGCCGACCGCTGCTGACCGTACTGTTTTTGACGCAATGCGCGAAGTATTCATGGAGTCTTGTAGGCGCTAATATGTGTTTCATGCCGACCGTCGCGCCGACGGCTTCTCCTTTCCATCTCATGTCCTCGTCATCACTTCTCTCTGCGCCGCGCCGCTCCAGGCCAAATACCGTGTTTGGTTTCTCTCTTAACTAGACTAATCAATGGCGTTGTCTCTTGTATCGCCGAGAGACGAACAAATTAGAAATTACTTTACCTTAACTCTCAGGAATAAGAGATTTGTTCGCCTTTTCTCGTTTGTAATTCAAGTCTAAAAACGTCACTCCGATCG